GACTATAAGTTATAACCACTTTTAATCAGCAAGATTTTGTTCATTAATGACTCTAAATATTTTGATTTCGATGTAAAGGATTATTTTTTTCCCAGTGTCGTAGTTGCCAAATATGGATATGCCTCCTACGAGCTTTGACAATGTTGCTGATCAATTCTACAATGAAGGCTGTTTTACACCACTCCAAATTTACCCAAATTGTCCAATATTTCCTTCCACGATGATAATGGGCTAAAAGATATATTACTTTAATTCTTATTTTAAAAATATATAATTTTGTATCTAATTGTACAAAGTCAAACGTAGGTTTATGAATAGAAGATGTTGTATGAGTGCAGACTGGTGACTAAATTGTTTTAATTTCAGTTCACATCGAATTGTATTACATTTTTATCTAAAAATTTTAATTAAAAATTTAAAAAATATATTTAAATATATATATATATATATTTGTTTTTTTTGGGTACTTTTTTAATATTTCCAATCCAAATAATTTCATTTCAGTTTAAATAGTTCCAATCCGGTTTTTTGCTTAATTTGGATACCCCTAATTATAGGTGACCCATCCGGTCTAATCATTGCTAATCAAGAGCTGGTATTTATAAAGGGGCCCAGTGGGCCACGATGGTATTTTAGACGAGACTTGTAGAAATTAGAAATCATCAAACTACATCAGGACCGTCAAACCTTTTTAATCAACAGAACCGGATCAGAATTAAATCAGAACCGTAGATCATGATTATTCTCCACGGTTGCGTAGCTTCCCGTTTCAATTGTCCTCCACTTTTGCAGTCGCCTTCTCCTGCCTAACACGAAGACTGCTGTGTTGGATTGGAGAAGAGGAAAACCTGAGGAAGACTAATCACGGGGATATGATGAAGATGATAAGGCGAAAAGGAGGAGAAGTGTTAATAGCGGTATCGGCCTTCTTGTTCCTGACGTTATTTCCGGCCTTCTCTTACGCCTTCGTGGGGTATCGCGCGGTGCTTGACAGTGCGTCTGGAAATGGAAATGGAAGCAGCAAGTACTTGAACGCCAAGGAGCTTTGGTTCAATCAGACTCTCGATCATTTTTCTCCATATGTATTTACTCCTGTTTCGGGCTTTCTTTTCTTCGATTAAGTTGATTTTTCGAAGATTCTGTCGTTTTTTCGCTTGCGCCAATCTTTCAATGAAGTCGATTGAGGAACTTCCGGATTGAAGTTTCGTGGTTTTGGTTTTTCTCTCATTATTGGACTGCACTTGTTTTTTCAGGATCATCGTCGGTTTAATCAGCGATATTATGAGTTCCTTGACTATTTCCGAGCCCCAGATGGACCTATCTTCTTGAGAATTTGCGGTGAATCTGAGTGCAGAGGCATTTCCAACGACTACCTCACTGTAAGTTTTCTTCAAGTCATGCAAAAATTGCGCTCCTTGCTGCGCTTCAAAGAGAGAGCCTCTAGGCTGTAGCCGTCTCCGTTTAAAAGAAAATACAAAATGAAGATTTTTGTTTGTCCTTTTCCTTCTCTGGGTTTGTGGAACTGTTAGTTGCAGTTTGAGTGAGTGAGTGAGGCAACCTCTATGCATGCAAACTCGTTCGGTTTGGGTCCTCAAGTCTTAGGCTATCGTTCGCAACATATCAATTGAAGGAAAAAAAGTTATTTGCAAGTTCACATTTTTGTAGACACTGCATAAAATTTATCTGTTCCAAATTTAGCGTTGAACTCATTTATTTTGGTTTGGGCTTGTTACGCGTTGGATAGTAAAGCTATAAGTTATTTCTCCGAGGGGAAGGGGAGTGAGAATTCCCTGCTCAAACGGGGATAATTAGTTCAGGACTCTGTGTTTTGTTTTGGGGGCCAACCCATTCAAGATGCGGTAGATAATATGAACGTCTTTTTTATTCTTTGTCCCTGAGAGAATTGTCAATATTGTATATTTTGTACTTGGTTGGCACCCTTGGTGGTTCCTGTTTAGCGAAGAATTTTTCTCTCAAGAAAGAGAATTCCTGGCCTCAACAGAAGAAAAAAGTTTTAATTTTTTGATGGGGCACAGGTTTTGGCAAAGAAGTTTGAAGCAGCAGTGGCTCATTAGAGCATCGT